TTAAGTTTTCTTAAAGTTCTGCTAAAGAATTTGTTATATGATGTTAATTCTTTACTTGTGTACAGTTTCAGTGTAATAAAGGAAATATCTGTTTAAAAAATAAATAAAAAGATATATCTTTGTTAAAAAAATTCCACAATACAAAACTTACAATATTACCCATACTCAGAATAAACAGTTTGATATTGATAGTCCATGCTGCTTTGTCTTAAGGCTGATATGGTGAACCTATCCATGCTCTGCAAGTCCCAGTTTTCTGATTAAAAGAGTTCAAAATGTTCAGAGAGTTGTCAATAGTTAAGGAAACCATGCACTTTAAGGTGCTTAGCAGAATATTTCCATGAGAGTAATAGTCATAATGTGGGAGCCTGTTACCGTATTTCTTTACTATATGGGACACTTGTTTTTGTCTTGGTCTGAAATTGTGAGGAGTCTGTATTCTACTCCTCCTGAGCTAATCTCCAAAAGTACTAGTCCAAGAAAGCAGAATGACTATAGAAATGCTGAGACTTTGTCCTTCTTTCAAAATTGTGACCTATTTACATTCAGTGAAGAAATGGAGACTTGCGTAAATGCATAGAATTATCAAGAAACAACTGGATGAACTATCAGAGGAATCCATGGTGCTTTGTTAATAACTGGCTCCTGACACATTTGAGTTTGTTCACATTTCCTTAGAACTTAAAGGTCATTATACTCTGTTGCTTTACAAAACAATGCGCAACAGCACTTTGGTAGTGGAGGTGGCACCTATGACCTTTTGTCATCTCAGCAGTTTGTGACTTCAAGGTGTGGCATTTCCTTAGATGTTCATTTCCATGTGCATTTCTGCAATGGAGCCATTATCTGAATTCTTCCTCATGTGGTGATCTGAGATCATGAGTGTGTTTAGAACAGTTCATCCAACCCTCTATAATTAGGTTTTTCTCCAAAACGGTATAGATAGGCATAACACAAACAATGCTATTTGGAAGCAAGTAAATATTTTCAAAGATGAATAGAATAGGGATTGATTCGCAGTTCTTAGATTTGTAGTATTGTTTTCAAAAACATAACTGATAATCATAGTTTGTTATTCAGATTAAGAGAGGAAGTTTCGAGATATTCAGATTTCCTCTTCTTGTTTCTCTGACTGAAGCCACCCTGCCCCTTGTATGCTTAGATTATCGACTAGCTGGAGCCTCACACAAGATAATTTCCACCATCCTTCCTTAGACTGAGTTTGTTTGAGCCTCTCTTTCTCCTCATGGCTGACCCCAAAACCATGAAAGAGAAGAAAGTCATGTATCTGCTCTTGCAAAAATGAGACAGTTCAGTAACCTAGGTGTATTTCCTCCTTGCATGTGTTAGAAACAGCTGTTTCCATTTCTTTTTGAAATTCAGCATTGACCTTCGGTCCTCTCGAATCTTTGCAATGTTGGTTTGCTATGACTGCTTTGCCATTTGTGGCAGTGACTTAAAAGTTATTTTTAAAGACCAGGCTTATTTTTGTCAGAACCTATCATTCCTAGGCATGCACTCTCCCACTTGAGTTCTGCTCCCTTATCTCCACTTACTTTACCTATTTGGGGGTTATTATTCCAACTTCCTGCCTGAACAGGATTGCTCTCCAATGCTGCAGATCTCCACTTGGGAGGACTGTCAAAGGCTGCCCTGCCTAGTTGTCCTTTGTCAGTTTTGCTTCACTGATCACTTTCTTTCTTTCATTTTCATGACAAATGGGGTTGTAATTTTCATTTTAGCCTACAAACAGCAATCATTTTTGCTTTCTAAGAAACTGTAAAAGAGAACTAAGTCAGAGGAAATGGCAATTTAAACAATGAACAATGCTACCACAGTGTCTTTCTTTTTCTCTATGGAAATTACCTAACCATGAAACAGAACACAGTGACATAATAGGTAGACAAATTTAGATCATTAGACCACCAGCACATTAGAAGGCACAAACCTAAAATTAAAAATTAGAAAGCACTGCAGTAGGGAAGGGTATGACTTGTTGAAATAGTTCCAGTGCTGTGGAGTTATCAGAAGGAAAGTCCAAGGATGCCTTTCCAGCATTCATGGTCAGCATGCATGGTCAACATTCACAGTTCATTTTTTCCCTGAAGCCAAAAAGGAACTTGTATTCAGAAATTTTACTATCTGAAAATGACCTGAAATCAAACTGAGAATGTCTCTAATCTGGTGTACACTATTCATTGTGAATTTACTAAAATGATTAGAGAATAAAAGCTCTATTTTCTTTTCTTTCCTTTCTTTTGTCAATCATGGGTTTGCACTCCAGGCCTGGGTGCTGTCCTTGAGCTTTTGTGCTCAAGGCTATCACTCTACCACTTTAAACCACAGCTCTACTTTTGGTTTTCTGGTGGTTAATTGCAGATAAGAGTCTCACCAACCAGGTTGACTTCGAAACTCCATCCTGAGATCGGATTACCATTGCTAGACTCCAGCACCGGCGTGTATTTTCTTAAATAATGATATCATTTATGATTATATTTATGTCTAAATTCTTGAAAGCTAATTGCAGTTTCCAAGGTGTGAAATGTGATTCTTATAGGGAAGGTTCTTGAAGACATTATATATTAAAGACTGTTTCACTACATTGGTAAGACTTCCTGTAACAAAAATTAATCAGTCATGACATCATAATGCTTAAGTATCCCACATTCATATAAATGTTCAGTGCTGGATTTCCTCAGCAGACACTTGTCGGTTCGCTCACCTCAGTGGAAGCCAGCACTATTTGAAGGACCCTAGAACTGTCTATTCTGGGCTTTGTCATCTTTAATACATCACCCCAAATATGTCTGTGGTCTTTGAGCACTGTCCTCTATATTGTATAGTTGAAAATTACTGTGATTCAGATGAGGATACATTCACAGGCCACAATGTACAGGAAACTTTATGTTCTTTCAATGGAATCACTCTTCACATTTTGTTCTAATGCTATTTGTGTGTGTGTGTGTGTGTGTGTGTGTGTTTCTGTGCAAGCACCATGGCTTGAACTAAGAGGCTGGGCACTATCCCTGTGTTTTTCCAGTCAAGGCTAGTGCTCTAGCACGTGAACCACTGCTCTACTGCTGGCTGTTTTGGTGTTTAATTGGAGATAAGAGTCTCAGGTTCTTACCTCTTCAAGATATTTTAAAAGAAAATTTAACCAATAATTTTACAAAACAAAATATGTAAAAATAGTTGTGATTGATTCTGACTGAATTCCACCATTTATTCTCAGGGAAGATGCCAAGAGTATGAGAAGTCTTGAACTACATAAGGTCTATTACTATCATGGACAGTGGAGCATATGATCAGGGAGCTTCCTGTAGGTAATGCACCATCATGAAAACTAAAATGTACAGTGAGTTTTGAATATTTTGAGGATTCTTTCTCTACTTCACACACTGGAAACTAAAAATATGAACATAAAACCGTATCCCTACAACCAAATGAATGTACTTTAAAAAATATTGCAAACAATCTTCAACTATGAATTTTGAAATCATGAAGAATTGTATACAATCTTCTCAAATATATCTGTTGGCCTTGGAATTATATTTCTACTATTAAGATAATGATGATTTTTCAGTACAAATTCCCACCAATAAGAGGAAAGGTATTCTTGAGATATATGTGAACACAACTTAAATATTGCTAGTTTGGTGCCTTCTAAAGTCAACTCCTATAAAATCTCATTCCTTAGCGTTTACTTAACTTTGTTAGATTTCCTTATGTATTCAATGATGAGCCATGTCACTGAATTCACGGAGGACACAGATAATGTGTGCAGGATCCCTGCTACAATCCTCCAGCTATAGAGGACTATGTCTGCAGGTCATTTTCTCCAGTACAGCTTGAAGAAGGTTCCCCTATATATGGGGCTGCCACCGACTTCTAATGGCATTCTTATGATGTGAACGTGAGTGCTTCTGACTGGATTTGGCCTATGAGAGTGAAGCATAAGCACAGGTTTGTTGTATTTTACTATTTAATTCTACTAAGGTTTTTCAACGCATTCATGATTATATCACATTCTAGGTAGGAAAAATGTTGACTAAGATGATGATCTACCAGATGACGAAGGAATAATTATTTCCTCATGTGTAACAAAGTTATTTACTAATGTGGTATCTTCATAAATATTTAATAGTTTTGAAACAAAGGTCTTTGAAAGAAAATTTACAGATGTTTTTCTGGCATCATTTATTTTATGCATTTATAAATTGAATATATACGCTGATTCATTAGTACTTCTAGCAGTATACATATTACAATAAAAATAAAGATATGAAATGTAATTTACAAGAAAAATCACAATTGCTAAATTCAATTCCACTAACATACATACCAAAGTACTTTACTGGCAATAGCACTGTACTTTACTTCATGGTTAACGGCAGTACTGTATCTGTCTTATAGTCTGTGTAACCGTTGCTTTATTCTTAGCCACGCATCAAGCCCCATCTTGAGATAGGCTCATGATGGCTGCTTCACCTGTATGCCTGAGCACTGGTTTGCCAACTGATTTTAGGTTTCCTTTTATAGGTGGCATAAGAGATGATTGCTACTGTTCCTGGATTCATAATTTGAGATGGGGTGTCATGAGCTTTTCTCATCTCTTTGAGATGGCCTCAAACTATGAGCCCCCTAGTCTCATAGTCAAGTATGAGTGACTGGCACTCAGATAAATTTTCAATTAAACCTAAAAAAATTTAAAAGTTAAACCAAAAGGCAATCAAATAAAAAACAAAAATTGCACGACTTTTAAAGTACTATTCAATGGTATATAGTATTATCTTAACACATATGACTGTTGAATTTTAGTCAGGGATTTTATTAAAAAAACACACACACTACTAAAAGCCTGTCAGGGGACCAGGTGGAAAACCAACCGGGGAAAAATATGGTTGGGAGATGCCGCTCTAAACTGAAACATGAAAGTATAAATGAAAACAAAAAGAGAAGTAGAAACTGGGGGGAAAGCATTCAGAAAATGGAAGCTCGAGCATCCCTACTTAAGCCAAGGGAGCACAGCAAGGTCTTCACACTCCCCAGAGGCAGAGGCTCCCATCAGCACCTCAGCCAGTCCAGCAGCATCCGCCCAGCCACAATGCCCTTGCCCTTGGCCTTCCTGGTGACCCTGGTGGTGCTCAGCTGCAGGGCAACCTGCTCTCTGGGCTGTGAGCTGCCTCCCACCCACAGCCTGGGCAACAGAAGAGCCTTGCTCCTCCTGGGACAGATGAGGAGAGTCTCCCTTTTCTCCTGCCTGAAGGACAGAAAGGACTTTGGATTCCCCCAGGAGGCATTGGATGGAGAGCAGGTCCAGAAGGCTCAAGCCATCGCTGTCCTCCATGAGATGACCAGGCAGATCTACAGCCTCTTCAGCACAAAGACCTGGCCTGCCCCTTGGGAGAAGAGCCTTGTGGACAAACTGTGCGCTGGCCTCCATGAGCAGCTGCAGGAGCTGAGAGCCTGCCTGAGCCGGGAGGTGGGAGAGCAGGAGCCTGCCATGGTGCTTGAGGACTCCACACTGGCTGTGAGCAAACACTTCCGCAGGATCTCTCTCTACCTGCAAGAGAAGAAGTTCAGCCCTTGTGCCTGGGAGGTTGTCAGGGCAGAAATCATGAGATACTTTTCTTCATCTGCAAACCTGCTAGAAAGGATAAAGAGTGAGGAATGAGTTCTACTTCTCATGGAAATGGCCCTCACTGATGGAACACAGTAGCTCCCTTCGACGGACTCTGCCATTCTCTGAAGCTGTCATTTCTGCTATCATTTGACATGACTTCAGTGAAGTTCTTAGACGTTTTCAGAAATGTTAGTTCATTTGTGTTCAATTCTCTAGACTCTCCTCCTTTGCATATATCTTTCCCTCTATTTATGTATTTATTTAATATTTAATGTGTCAGATTTAAATTATTTATATTCATATATATTATTTTGTATACCTTTACACTGTGGTTTTATAATATATTTTATGTATTACTTTTTAAATTAAAGTTTTGCTAAAGAAGCTTATTTTATGTGTTTAATTTTCACCTGAAAACCTGCAGTACTTGTGAGCCTTATAAAAGGAAAATGATGGGGGGGCTGGGAAGGTAGCTCAGTGGTAGAGTGCTTCCCTTGCATGCCTGAGGCCCTGGGTTCGATTCCTCAGCACGACATAAGCAAGGAGAAAAAAGCCGGAAGTGGCACTATGGCTCAAGTGATAGAGTGCTAGCCTTGAGCTTAAGAGCCGAGGGACAGCGCCCAGGCCCAGAGTTCAGGCCCCACAACCGGACCCAAAAAAAAAAAAAAAAAAAGGAAAAAGATGGAAGTCATTTACCCATCGTGATTTTTGTCCATATCTTGGTGTCAGTTGGCATCTTCCTACACTGCAGAGAGAGTGTGCTCAAAGACCAGTGTTTACATAGCATGGGTAATGCCATGGGAGGGATCAAATACACAGAACAAAAAATTTGAAAATTATGTTCTGTAAACCAGATTGCATGCTGCCTTCAGGCTATATTTATGTTCTTTTGTATCTTTGCTTCTTTTAGTGAAGGAAATCTAAAAGCTATAACCTTTCTTAACATGCTATGATGGGAAATCTAATGAAATGGCCACAGGAAAGTGGTCACAGCCTGCAGCATGAAGGACTTTCAGAGAGGCAGAAATGTATGAATTGACTGCAATCTCCGCAGATATGTGGCCCATCTGGACACATCTAGTTTCATACATGAGTTTGCAATGTACAAAGATCAGAGTTAATCAAAGTTAACATGGGAACACTGAGATATTCCAAGGTGAGTATGAAAATTGTCTGCAGAGAACAAACAAAACATAAATTTACTATTCTTCAAATGTTAAAACAAGAGGACATAGAGCCCAAGGGAAACAGAGATGGGACAGACTCACATTAAAAGAACATCAAAGGAGAAGTGAAGGAAAGTGAATTTAAGAAAACCAGCTTGCTTGGGAGAGGAACCAGCGGGTGCAGGGAAGGTGTGGACTGAACCTGCCCACTGCTCTGGGAAAGTGGATGGCAGTGGCGCCACTGGGGCTCTGATTGCCAGATTCCATGGTTTCCCTCATTTGTAATAGTTAATATATGTCTAGGATAGTCCTATCAGGTGAGCAGAATAGCCAATAGCTATCTACATATGATCATATAAGATGATGCTAAGTGAAATGAACTCCAGGGCATGGAAACAAGACATTTTTCTTCGATGATGTAGTTTTTAATGCACTATATGATTTCTTTTTTCTTTTATGTTTTTTTCCCCTATGGTTTATCCCCTGTTGCCACTGTATTTGATTTTGTTACCCTGGGTCTTGTATATAGGTTTATCTGAATCAGGGAAGGGAAGGGGAACAACAAAATGGTGAGACAAAGACAAAGGAAACCAGTGAGACAGTAATACTCACAGACACTATGTTGGAAATGAACTGTACACGTGGCTGGGGAGGGGGCAGGGAGAAGTTGGGGATAAAGTGGGAGAAAAATGAGGGAGAGGGTAAAAAATCTGACAGGAAATGTACTCACTACCTTCTGTATGTAACTGAGGCAATTCACTAACCTTGAAGTAGCTCTTCCTGGGATATATTACAAAGAGCTATATCCATTCCTTTGTGATAGTCAGCATTGAACTTCACTGTTTTCACATCTTTGCTATGTTGAATTTTGCCATGAACACTTTGCCACTTGTGATTATTTACATACATTTTGGATTTGAATACCAGGGTTTTGTTGTCAGGACCTGCCCTTGCTAGGCATGCACTCTCCCACTTGAACCCAGCTCTCATGTCTCCATTTGCTTTAGTTATTTTAGGATGTAATATTTCAACTTTCTGCCTGGACAGGTTTGATGTCTAATCCGCCAGATCTCCACATGCTGGACCTGAGAAGAGTGTCAAGACCACCCTGCTTGCTTGAGGTTTGCCATTTTTGCTTCAGAGTTCACTTTGTTTCACTTTCATAACAATTCAGATTATCAGTTTTGTTTTAGCCCACAAGAACTATGGATATTGCTTTCTAAGAAACTGTACAAGAGAAAAAATAAGTCAGGTGTAATGGAAATTTTAATTTTATAAAAGAAACCCAATTCTCCCGCAGAATCTCTCTTTGTTTTTCTCTATGGAAATGACTTCAACCTGAAACAGAATGCAGTGATGTGACAGGTGGACAAAATGGGTTATTAAACCACCATCCTATTAGAAGTTACAAAACTAAAATTAAAAATTAGAAAACATTGCAGTAGTAAATTGCATTTCTTGTTGAAATAGTTCCAGTGTTGCAGAGTTACCAGTAGTAAATTCCAAGGATCCCTTTCCAGCATTAATGGCCTGCAAACAGAAGTCAGCAAGTAGAGAAGAAGCTTATGTGTATGGCTCTCTCTAAGAAAGTTCATGTTTTCCTAAAGCAAAAAGGGAACTTGTACTCAGGCTTTACTATCTGAAAAATGACCCAAAATCATATGCAGAATGTTTCTAATATGGTATACATTATTCATTATGAATTTACTGAAATATTTAGAGAATGAAAGGTCTATTTTCTCATATAATTCTATAACTTATGAATTTATTTATTTGCTTAAATTCTTGTAAGCTGATTTCAGGTTCTAAGGTGTGAAATTTAGCATTTTTAAGAAAGATTCTTGAAAACATTACTTATCAAAATTTTTTCACTGGACTTGATAAGACTTACTGTAACAAAATTTTTAAAAAACCTCTACTAGTCATGACATCACATACAGATCTGTCTCTCATTCATACAAATGTTCACTGCTGGATTTCCTGATCAGATGACTCATTGGTTGGCACATGTCAATGGAGGCCAGCAGTATTTGAAGGACCCTAGAACTGTCTACTATGAGTTTTGCCATCTTTAAGACATCACCTCAAACATATCTATGGGCTTTGAACACATTCTTTTATATTCCATAGTTTAAAATTATGGTGACTTAGATGAGGGCACACATGATAAGAAAGTGTATTTCCATCCATGTTTAATTGGTCTGGAATGATTCTCACATGACACTAAGATGTGAAGATATGGAAAAGGAACTTCAATTGGGTGACTTGTAGACAGGGGAGAAAGTTCTTTTAATGCACCACTATTCAATTTCACATTTCATTCTAACACTCTGTGTGTATGTGTGTGTGTGTGTGTGTGTGAGTGTGTGTGTGTGTGTATGCAGGTCCCACTACTGGAGATCAGAGTCTGGGCACTATCACTCAGCTTTTTTGCTCAATGATACTGCTCTACCCATTGAGCCACAGTCCCACATCTGGCTTTTTTAGTGTTTAATTGATATGTAGAGTCCCAGGGACTTCCTGTTTTAATGTTATTTTTAGACAAAAATTATCCACTATTTTACAGCACAATATTTATGAAAAGAATTCTGTTGGTTTTTGCTGAGTTTCTATTTTAATGTCAGGGTAGATGCCGAGAGTATGAAGAGAAGGTCTTGAAGTACTTATGGTGAATAAGTACGATGGTGTTGGGGAGTGAGAGACCAAATATAAATTTAGCAGTAATTTCAGACAAAACTAAAACATGTGTCATCTGTTACTAGAAAGTAAGTGTTAGATCCTGCACCAAGGCAAGACAACAGTAAGAATTAAGGGATCAGTCTGCCTTGACCAGTCCAGATATTTGGGAAGTCTCTCTCCCCAACTCTGTTGAGAAAATATTTAGGACAAGACATAATTCAGTATTTCTGTGGTTAGCCCCACTTCTCCAACCAGTGATGTATGATTTAACCTATCCTGTAACCGCTAAGCTTGAAAGTCCCTGCCCTTACTGGATATGATCGTACCCCTAACCAATAAGCTTCAGACATCCTACCCCATGCTACATACTCAATAAAAACCCTGCTGGACAAGGGGTCGGGCCTCACAAATCTGATCTGCTGCATCAGTGACGATTATAAGTCCAGGCTCGAGCTTGCAAATAAAGGACTCTTTTGCTGTTTGCGTTGCTTGTGGTCTCTGGGTGTTGCTCGGGGGTCTGGAGTTCGAGTCTAACAGGGAGAATATGATCAGGTAGATCTATAGGTCCCAGAGGATCACAGAATCTAAATTGTATGGCGAGTCTCTGATAGTTTGAAGATTTTTTTTTCTGAACTTCACATTTGGACACTAAATATAAAACAAAGGCCCTTGCCCAAAGCTTTTATTTCAATTTAATTCTTTTTATTGTGAGAATACCGTACAGAGGAGTTACACTTACATGGGCAAGATAATGAGTACACTTCTTATCAAGCATTGTTGCCTCCTCTTTGTTTACCCTTCCCATCCCTTCCCATATTCCCCTCCTCCTCCCACCTGAACCTCCCTCCCCGCACCAAAGTTGTAAAGTTCATTTTTCGACATAACGACTTGTATATCTCATTGTTGCAATGGGTCCACCTATATCCCTAAATGATTTGTTTCTTCCCTTCCCTTCCACAAATTATACCAACATCAAATACAGTGAAAGCATGGGTTATACAAAGCAACATAGAAATCATCTTATAATCATCTTATAAATATTATAGAAATCATCTTCTAAATATGTTAGAAAAACTGCATGAAAGAAAAAAACAACATTTGAATACTTATTTTGGGGTTTATTCCCCTAACATTAACTTATCTGACCTTTTCTGGTTGACTCAGACATATACTAGTTATGGCAAATAAGGGAAACCATGGGACCTATGTTTCTTTGGGCCCGGCTTATTTCACTTAATATAATTTTTTCCAAGTCTTTCCATTTCCTAACAAATAGTTGACCAAAGCTTTTTTGGGGGTGGAGGGGTCCGGTTGTGGGGCCTCAACTCTGGGCCTGGGCGCTGTCCCTCAGCTCTTCAGCTCAAGGCAAGTGCTCTATTACTGAGCCACCTTCCCAGACCCTGCCCAAAGCTTTTTACAAATTATTCCATGAAATTTTCAACTATAGATTTTGGAATCATGGAGATTTTAAAGTATCTCTACATCTGTAATCCCCTCAAATATATCTTGTCTGTATGGAAATTATGTTATCACCGTTAGGATGATGATGATCTTTCAGTAAATAAGAAAAGAGTTAATCTTTAGATGTATGTAAACATATGTTAAATATTGCAAGTTTTAACTCTCATTAAATCTCATTCTGTGGAATTTACTTAAGTTTCTTACATTTCCTTGTGCATCCGGTAAGAAGCCATGTCATATAACTCATGGAAGACACACAAGGTATGAGCAGGATCCCGGCTATAGACCCATGGTGCTGATGATTCTGACTCCTGGAACTGAAGTTTGTCTTGGGCTGACTATAGACCACTATCTTCCATCAATACCCTCTCATGTAGTTATCTTCATGCTGGCAAATGTAATTTTCCTTACCTCTTTGCACAGATTAGCTTTAAAATGTGATCCTCTCAATCACAGGCCCTCAAATACCTGGGATTACAGATGTAAGGTATACCCAGACTCAAATAATACTATTTTACCCAAAGAATATCACATCCCAGTTGTCACTTATTGTCCACACATTTGCCTTAGACTTTCTTTTCCTTCAGTTATGTTGAGCTTCAAAGAAATCTTGATTGGACTATGAAATATGTGAAGATGAAAAAACTGATAACTAGTAGTTCTAACCACAAGATGACAGAATGTAAGGAAGGGGCCAAAGAATTCTGGGTTTGATACCAGCTAGAAAGGAGACTCTTCTCTAAACCAAAACAAAACAAAACACCAAAAGAAACCCGAATAACAATTTTAAAAAATCTAATGGAATCTAGCTCTGGTAGGAAAGTTCTTGCTTAACATTTCCAAGGACCTAGGTCTAATCTCCACTATCTACAGAAAGAAAAGAAGGAAAGAAAGGGGAGGGAGGGAGTATGAAAGGAAGACAGAACAACAATGACAAAAGAGGAAAGAAAAAGAAAAAAAACAGAAATAAAAAGAAAGAGAAAGAAGGAATGAGAAAGGAAGGAAGGAAGGAAAGAAGGAAGGATGAGAAGGAGGAGGGAGGAGGGAGGAAAGAAAAGAAATAGAAGAGGAAGGAAGGAAGGAGAAAAAGAGAAAATGATCCTTCTATTTCCCTAAAAAATGGGAGATTAAAAACGCACAAAATTTGAAGATTCTGCTGGGAGCTTTTGGCTCACACCTGTCATCCTAGCTACCAAAGAGGCTGAAATCAGTGGATCATAGTTCAAATCCAGCCAGGCAGCAGAGATTATGAGGATCTGATCTCCACTAAGCTACTCAGGAAAAGCCTAAAGAGGCCCTGAGGCCTCAGTGGTGCAATGCTGCCTTGAAGAAACCAAGCTCAGGTAGAGTACATAGGCCTAGAATTCAAGCCTAAGAAAAGGACAGGAGAGGAAAAAGATGAAGACCCTGGAAGCAGTGTTTCACAGCAGCAAAGGTTTTGCAGCACCATACTCTGGCTCTCACAGCGTGACTTCCTGTCTGAGAGATGAGAGGAAGCTGAAGAGAGGTGGAGAGCTGGTGGAGAAGTTGGTGACTGAAAGGAGGAAAAGGTAAAAGAAGGAATGAGCTGGGAAAGTGCAGGAGCTATTTCTATGCACAACTTTTCCTTTTTTTAAATCCAGTTTTGAGGCTTCAACTCTGGGTCTGGGTGCTGTCTCTGAGCTTTGTGACTCAAGGCTAGGGCGCTATCCCTTGACCCACACACAGTTCACTTGTAGCTTTATGGTGGATAGAATCTCACAGACTTTCCTGCCTGGGCTCACTTTGCACTATGATGCTCAGATCTCAGCCTCCAGAGTACAATTCCAGGCATGAGTCACTGTTGCCTGGATTTAGTTTTTGTTTGTAAAATATCCCATTAGACAGATTTCATGCAAATGGTGTATTGCAAGATCATGAGAATAGGTTTAGTAGGTTTACTTTAAATGTGACATATTACCAATAGTACTAGCTTATCAGACTTCAGTAAACAGTATCTTCAACCTCAGAAACCCACCCCGTTATTTTTAATTTCTTAGGTAGAATAGGAAGGAATTAGATACACTTTGGATAGAACTGAATTGAACCAATTAAAGATAACCAGGAGAAGAAAATGATGCGCTGCTTCACCAGCGACCTCGTTACTATCAGTACTGCGCTGCTTCCTCGGGTGATGGTTTCCATCAGCTACTTAGGCCCTTACTTACCACAAGGTTTACCTGCAGCAGACCCTTTACAACACAGTGCAGCACAGGTCACTTCCGGTGCGGGGACCTAGGCCCAAACCCTACAGAACCGTCCTAGTAACATTGCTGGTGCCATGAGCATCGTCCCTTCCACCACAACCCCAAACCCACGCGCAGGAGAGTGCAAATGCACATGGAAGCCACGGCAGGAGTCAGCTCCGGAGCCTCCTTACTCGGTGCTCTGAGCAGTAACTCTGCACAGCACTGTGTGACTAAGAGGGGAACCGGTACCTTCCGCCTGTGCGGTGGATCCCCAGCGCCCACTCACCGCACGTCCGTCCCGGGCGCGCCCAAGTCAGCTCGGCGCTCAGCCCCGCGGAGGCTGCGCCAGGGACGGGGCCTGCGATCGCCCGCGGCGAGCTCGCGGCCGCGCGGGGGCTTGATCCCCGCCATCCACACGGGAGTGCTCCCCGCCCTCCTCCTCGCTGCGGGGCGCCCTGCGCAGGCGGCACCGCCACCTGTGACCCGCGATCCGGAGACGACAACCACAAACACACCCCCAAAACCCCACACAAGCAACTCCGAGTCTAACATTCCAGGCACACCCAAGCCCCAGCCGCGGGGAATCCCGGGCAGCTGCCGATGCCGGCGAGCGCCCGCGCGCCCTTCTGCGCACGCAGCGCTAGCGCAGCTGGATGGCGAATTCCACTCCCTGCACTATTAAAGATCAGCTCAGCACCAACCCGGCATGCCCGCCCACCGCCACGCTGCCCCGCGGACGCCCACAGCCCCGGCGCGCCCCCTTGTGTCCATCCATCACAGCGCTGTGCCCGAGCCCCCTACAGGCCGGATAGTGAACCACCCCACCCGCAATGGTCCAGCCCCACCTCCTCCTGACAGCCCTGATGCTCTGCTCCAGCCCTGCCTGCTCACCAGGCAGCCCAGTCCCCTGGAGCCCTGGCCACCAACTCAAGGAAATCCTTCGCCTGCTAGTACAGCTGCAAATGACCCCCTCTCACAAATGCCTGGATGACAACAGACCTGAATTCAGGCTTACAATCCAGAAGACAGAAGCCACCTGTGTGAACCAGCTGATGCTCCAGCACATCTTCAACCTCTTCAAGACTCAGGAAGCCCGTGCTGCCTGGGACACGCAGGTCCTGAAGGAACTACTCTCCAGGCTTGCTGAGAGTCTGGAACCACTGGTCAAGTCAAGGGAAGAACCTGTGTTTTGTACTCAGCCAAGACTCGCTCTGCTCAAGTATTTCAGGAGTCGGTTTTCTTACCTGCAGAAAGAGCGATACAGCTCTTGTGCTTGGGAGGTTGTCAGAGAGGAAGTGCGAAAGTCCCTTTCCCACATCAGCGATTTTCACACAGAAGTCAGCAACTAGAGAACAAAGCTATATGCGAGGTTCTGGAGCAAATCCATTTTATCCTAAGCCCAAATAGAACCTCAACTCATATATTTTCACTACTTGAAAAATATTTGATAAAACCCACGAGTTTGTTAAAGTATGCTGTAAATTATGCGTTACAAAATTATTAAAATAGTTCATGAGAGAATATGTTTGTATTCTTAGATAAAGAGTGTTGGAAAATAGAACTTGTATTTATTTGTTTAAATTCTGCTTTGGTATCAACCATTTCCTAATTTCACATATATTTTTTCTATGAAAGACTCCACAACAGAAGGCATCTTTCCTTTATCGTGATATTATCTTAGTAAGAAGGAACAATAACAAAAAGAACTATCAATAATTAGGTAATAGAACAAACTCATCATTCCTGGATGGAAGTGCTCAATGCAGAGATTCCTCATCAGCTGACTTGCTGGTTGTTCCCTCCTCCAAGTAATATGTGGAGACCAGAATGCTATTGGCTTGACATCTTCCCCTTATACATACAAGTGCTTCTATGGCACTTAACACTATTCTTCTCACTTGGAAAGAATATGGTGTGGTGAATCATTTGGTAGAGTGTTGAGGGGCCAATGGTGTGCCGCAAAGATCATTTCCATACCTATTAAAATGACCTGAATTTATTCTCTAATGATACCAAGAAAAAGAGGCTGTGGGAAAAAAAGTCAATTTAATTCATATGCAAACAAAAAGAAAGCTGTTTGCATGAGAATGTTCTTCATTTTTATATTATTAGTACTAAAGTCATTTTAAGAAGAAATGAAATCAATTTTCTTGCTCCAGAAACAGCATTTAAATTTCCCCACCAATAATTCAAACTTGAGGATATTGTTATTTATCAAAATTTGAGGGATCATTGACTGTTTGAAGAGACACTTAAAGTGCAACCACAATTACATATTGCCAAAAAGTGGCCAAGAGAATGTGGATTCCTAAACCATGTTGTAAAATTCAGGTTGTGTCCTTCTAATGTTGGGAGGAAACCAGGTTTGTATTCCTAGTTCCAAACTCCTGGCCTCTTGTCTTTATATACCAAATAACAGGAGATGCTGAAGGGGCAAGAAAAGAGATATTTTTCAGTGCAAAAATAGGAAAAGCAACTTCAGTACATCTTCAATCTCCTTGGGAGTGGAAATATTGGTCTCAAGTTAAATAGGAAGAATTGGAGCCAGTGATGGAAAATATGCACAGTTAAATGGTAAAACAGTCCATCATAATTTTGAAAAATATTTATGGATTTTAATAGAATTTTGAATACTATATATTTTATATTGTTTACATTGTGTATATAAGGTCCTAAAAATAAGTACATATTACTTTAAAAGTCACTTTAAACAAAATATATGTATAAAAATCACAATTTTTAAATATATGAATTCTAGTAAAAGACAGGAAAAGAACCTTCATAAAGTAAACTTACATATCAGTGGCTTTTGAAGTAAACTTTCAGCTTAAACTGATTGTCATTGTAACCCAGCATGTACATTTTTTATGTATAAAGCCGCAATATAGGTAGTATATACAAATATGTTACTATAGAGATATATCCTAGAAATTAATCCAGAGGTCAACTAAGTAACAAGAGTCTGAGCTAATCTGGAAGGTGGAGAAAAAAGCAAAGGGGAAAAAAAAAGGTTGGGAAAAGGCAACCCAAACAAAAAAAAGAAAAACCAAAAGAAAAAAAAAAGAGAAGGAGAAAGGAAGACATTCAGAAAATGGAGAATCAAGCATCCCCACTAAGCCAATGGAGCGCATCCCGGAGGCAGCGATGACCCATCACCACCTCAGCAGCATCTGCGGTTTTCTAAAGATGTAATTTCTGCTATCATTTACTTGACTTCAGTGAATTTGTTCCATGTTTTTAAGAACAGATGGCAAATTTGTGTTCAATTCTCTAGACTCTCTTCTCATACAGATGTATCTATCCCTCCATTAACATATTTAATTATTTAGTTCTTTTCAAGATTTAAAATGTTTTATATATTATCATGTGTTACTTTACATTAAAGCTTATATATGCAATAAATTTATTTTTAATTAAAGTGTTGCTAAAGAATTTGCTGTATGTTTTTAATTTTCTCCTTATGTACGGTTTCAGTGTAATTAAAGATATATCTCTGTTAAAAAATTCCATAATACAAAACTTACAATATTACCCATTACTGAGAATAAAGAATTTGACATGGACAGTCCATTCTGCTTTGACTTAAGGCTGAACCCATCCATGCTCTGCAAGTTCCAGTTTTCTGATTAAAAGGATTCAAAATGTTCAGAGAGTTGTCAATAGTTAAGGAAACCATGCACTTTAAGGTGCTTAGCAGAATATTTCCATGAGAGTAATAGTCAAAATAGGGGAGGCCTGTTACCGTATTTCTTTACTGTATGGAACACTCGTTTTTGTCTTGGTCTGAAATTGTGAGCTGATCTCCAAAAGTAGTAGTCCAAGAAAGCAGAATGACTATAGAAATGCTGAGACTTTGTCCTTCTTCCAAAATTGTGACCTATTTATATTCAGTGAAGAAATGGAGGCTTGCATAAGTACATAGACTTCTCAAGAAATATCTGGATGAACTACCAGAGGAACCCATGGTACTTTGTTAATGACTGGCTCCTGGCACTAAAAACACTTGAGTCTGTTCACATTTCCTTAGAATGTGAAGGTTCATTATGCTCTGTTGCTTTACAAAACAATGCACAATAGCACTTTGGTATTGGAGGTGGTACCTAGGACCCTTTGTCATCTCAGCACTTTGTGACTTCAAATTGTGGATCTCTGTGGATGTTCATTCCTATGTCTACTTCTGTTATTCACTTTCAGTGATATGTTCTTCACTTTCAGTGATTATGGCCATAATCTTAACTCTTCTTAGGTGGTGATCTGAGATCATGGGTGTGTTTGGAACAATTCATCCATCCCTCTATAATTAGGTTTTTCTCCAAAATGGTATAGATAGGCATAACACAAACAGTGCTATTTGGAAGCAAGTAAATATTTTCAAAGATGTGTAGAATAGGGATTGATTCACAATTCTTAGATTTGTAGTATTGTTTTCGAAAACATAATTGATACTCATAGTTTGTTATTAAGATTAAGAGAGGAAGTTTTGAGATAATCAGATTCCCTCTTCTTGTTTCTCTGACTGAAGCCACCCTGTCCCTTGTATGCTGAGATTATTGACTAGGTGGAGCCTCACACAAGATAACTTCCACCATTCTTCCTTAGAGTTAGATTGCTTGAGCCTCTCCTTTTCCTCATAGCTGATCCCAGAACCATGAAAGAGAAGAAAGTCATGTATCTGCTCTTGCAAAAATGAGACAGTTCAGTAACCTAGATGAATCTCCTCCTTGCATGTGTTAGAAACAGCTATTTCCATTTCTTTTTGAAATTCAGCATTGATCTTCAGTCCACCAAAATCTTTGCAATGTTGGTTTTTCTGTGACTGCTTTGCCATTTGTGGTCATTGACTTAAAAGTTATTCTTGAATACCAGGCTTTTATTTGTCTG